AGTCGTCCCAAGATTCATCACCCCATGTATCACTTGAGAAAATTTATTTGTAACCTGAAAGCTTACACTTACATCCCAGAAGCACTAAATGCCTCCATTGAATCCTACCGTCTCCACAATTTCCATATTATGAGATCCTAGCTGCTTTACCACTGCCATAGCCTTGTCTTGCTTCTGGCGAGACTCAAGGATAGCCAAAAAATCAAACTGATATTTCTGCCATAGCTCAACTAACAATATGAGGAAAGTCCTACCCCCAGCGCCCCTTGAATTCCAAATGAATATGTTTAAATCCATAAAATAGATAAAAAAACGGATGAACCCACAGATCCTACTGAGAGTGAGAATTAGCACTCCTTAATTGCTTTATGCCTAACGTCTCTTCTTCACCCACCTCTAAGAGAGGGTTCAAGCAAACCATAGGACTGCTACCTCGTGGTGCACCTGGGTCGAGTAAGTCTTTATCAACTCGCATGGCACCTCCAAACTCATTTATAGTGCTAGGCAGTGTTTCATGTTGGTCCTTTCTTACCATAACATACTCCCCCTATCCTACCATACTACTACTTCCACCCACTAACTGATCGACTTCTATTACTGAGTCCCCTCCATGCATACTATCGAGTCCAGCTTTCCTTTTTATTTCCAAGATATGATTCATGGAGGCTTGGTATTGTTCTTTCTAACTTGAGCACCCAAGGAGCCTACTTGTTGTAATTGTGTTTGTTTGTTCCTTTCCTGCGACCCACTAACAAAGCTCACTTTTGACTCTGACTCTTGGTTTGCTCGTTTGAGTTAGACTGATTTTCATGCTCTCCATCCCATAGATCAGATTGTGAGATATTATCCATTGATGTATTTTGCTGTTTTTAGCGTCAACCTCTTTTAATGCCCCAAATTAAGATCCTCTTCCTGCTATTTCGCTAACTTGTCTAGATTCTCTCCTTCTAGCACTCTCTCGTCCCTCCTCCGTACCAAAGTGATGGTTACAGTGTGGTTGTTGAACTATCATCCACTCATCAAAATTCACTCCAACGGCCCTGTGAGGAGTGCCCATAGTTGTTTTCTGCGCCTTTCTTCGACAGCTATACTCCCCCTTTAAACACCTCACCACCTATCTTCGGTTCCTTCCCTTTACCCCCTTATCCTGTAGATCAATTCGGTCCTTCATCCTATGTGGGCAGTGTTTTGAATCATGACCATATCTTCCATAAGAGAAACAGATGCAATGAATCCCCTCATATTGAACTCATTTCACTTTTCCATTTATAAGAACCAAAGGACGTAGGGGTGCACTCAGATCCAACTCGACACATATTCGGGCAAAGCAGCCCTTCTTGCGTTTTGAAGTATTCATGTCTACCTTTAGGACTCTACCAACTTGAGATCCTAGCACATGCAAAACACCCTAGTTGTAGTAGTCCAAAGGTAGGTTCGCAATTTTAACCTAGGCAGCTTTTTGTGATTTCCTCCTCTACCGGTTCGAAGTCCTCCTTTCACGGTTCTACACAAAGGTAGTGATTGAATAAAAGCCACAGTCCACCAGTTAAGGCCATCTCGTAATCACTTTCATTAGCAAAGTTCACAACAAAGAAGCTAGCCCCAACATCTATCGTGTCCACTGCACCATGTTTTGCCTAGAGTTGATGGAGTTTCGATTCTAGGTAAATCAGGTCAACCATACGACCTAATAGTTTAACGATGATTGCATTCTTCCATCTCCTTGCCAAACGCTCCTTCTCCTTTGGAGGAATAATAACATTGGGCCCTATTGGCGTCGTCTCCATCGTAATCCTCTCCTTCCATCTATTGTTGCTCCACCAGTCCTCCTCTTCCACCTTCTCATCAATTTTCTGTGTAAAAGCCTCCTTAAACAAGGCCCACTTCTTCGCAGGTTCCTTCACGTGACCACCTCTGGTGCTTCCCCCCTTAGTATTCTCATGGACCTTCTCCTTCTTTTTAGACATTTTTTCCATGCTCCCCCCACTCTCCGTCACAACATAGGTCTCATCTCTCCTGGTTACCTTCCTTGTATTGCCATTGTCCACCCCCTCCTCAGACATCTAATCCTCCACCCTTGGGGACAGTAATTGTCCTAGCTTAAACACACCTTCCTCGAAGCAGACCTTCTTCTTGCTATGTACCATTGTACCTTTTGCCGTCGGCGACCGTGGCTGATTTCCTCGTTCACAACTTTTGTATCTCTCCCAGACGCTCATCCTCTTAGGGTTTTTAAATTTTATTCTCTATTAAACTGTTATTCTACTAACAATTTAATATTGACATATCCAAGGAGTTTCAAAACAAAGGAGTTAATTATTTTTTTCCAAGAATTGATGATATAATTTTCTTTAACTGTTCATCACATATGCCTTCTTTTATGATCTATTGTTCTTACATTTTCCCTAACATATCATATTGCATATCATCTTCATCATTTATAAACTTCCCCACTGCTCTGGTTTTATTAATTAAATTTAATTACTTTATTAATTACAGAAATTTTACTAATACTTAGTTCACCCCATCTTGAGTGTTCAGTCATCCTAATAGTTTATTCTCATCTTAACTTGAACTATTTAAGGTGAAGTTACATAGTTCTAATTTAATTCAATTTTTTATATATTTTAAATAATTTTTATTTTCATTGATATAGAAAGTAAAATAAAAATAATCTTATAACTAACACTTATTTTAAAAAATTTATTATTAAGAATTGCAAATTAAAATTTCTAACTATATATATGATTCAATAATGGGAGAATTAAAACAAATGACCTAGAGAAAATAATATTTATTATACAAAATCATAAAAATTTCAATTATTTGAAAGAACCAAATATCAAAATATAAAGTTAGAAATATTAAACTGCCTTTAACCAAAACTCTTATATTATCTCCTATATTTAAAATTAAAAATATGACTATAGTCAAAACAAAAATTTCACATCATCCATATATGATTTCGATCGTATTTTTTTTCTTCCAATTTTTAATTTTAGCCAAGTTCCATATTCATATGGTAAATATATGATCGAATCATTAATATCGATATTTATGAATTTATATCATTAATTTTTTTAATCCAATTTATATCATCAACACTTGTAGCAATTCAAATTTTTTGTATAAAAATTAAAATAATTTAATATGTTATGATAATATAATAAATAATCTGATCTTTTTAATTTTATTAATATTACATGGATTTTTCATCAAAACAAAATTAACATTAACATGATTTTGTTATCTCGGATATTTTTTTTTCAAAATAAAGTAAATTATATAAACTTTCATTGAACATATTGTTTAAAATTATGTAAATTTTGGAAAAAATGACAAAAAATACTTATTAAATTTTAAAAAGATAAATAGATTATGTTGACTATTCTTATAATAATTTTAACATGTCAAAATCTGTCAAAATCACCTACTTGTCATTTTAAAATTTAATAGGTAGTTTTTTGGTTATTCTTCCAAAATTTTATTTTCATCTTCTAGATAAATATAACTTTTTTTAACCTATGTAATAAATTATAAAAGATGTCGAGTTTATTGAAATTACATAATTTTTATTTATTTTCAAAATTTATGTTGATTTTAAAAATAAAATTACATTTTTTTGACAAAAATAAAATCATAATTTTAACAAAACTGACCAACATGTAAATGTTTTTCCGTAAAGATATATGTGCAAGTTGAAAAAATTGAGGAAAATTTTATTTAAATTAGTAAAATTTTAAATTTTTTTATTAGTTTTCAAGATACAATTTAGGAAATTTAATTAAAGGTAATTCAGTATTTTTAATTTTCTATTTTTCAATGTGATCCTTCTAAGTAATTACAATTTTTATGCTCCCCCAATAAATATTATTTTTTTAGTTCCTTCATTCTAATTTTCCATTCAATAATTAGAGGTCAAAGAAAGTAGTAAAAGCAACAATTAAAGTTAGTTATTACGTTATCTATTTCTTTTTCACATTCAGTGGTTAAACGAATTCATCATATCTCTATCTTAAAACTCTAGTGACCAACAAGCCAAACTGAACCAGCCGGTTCAACCAGACTAGCCGGTTTTGTTTAAGTGTTGAATTGGTGGCAAACTGGTGATAAACTAGTTTAGATGATTATGGTATTATTGGTTTTATTTTTTTTTTATTCAGCCCCCTAATATCTCAGTTAATATTAATTTAAATGAATTTTAATAATAATTTTGGTATCAATGATTATTAATTTTTTAGTTATTAAGGAATCATAAAGATAAAAATTCTCAATCTTGTCATACTTTGTTATTATTACAATCAAACTATTATTATATTTTCTTATATTTTGCTATTAGTGATTATTATTATTGCTATATTTTGTTACTTTCAGTTAAATTATATTATTTTAATATGACCGATTTGATCCTAGTTAGATCCTAGCTGACCTAAACCACTACTTCAACCAATTTAGTGTTTGATCTGGTTTTTTGTTCCTCATGAAACTCAAACATTGTTTCATCCCAATCCAGCTCAAATTGACACTGGATTATATTCAATGATATCAAATCGTTTTTATGATCATGCTTCTCTTTTTATGCATGATCACAATTTTGTTACAATTTGCGAGCTTCTTTTTTTTCTTCGTTTGTAAAAATATTATGCCTACTATCTATACTTTGAATAAAAAAAATTATTTATTAACTATAAATTTATTAAATCATTAAACTATCGCGACAAATTTAAAATTTTAAAGAGTAATATCAATAATCGAATAATCGATCAATATATTAATATATTTTAAAATTTAAATTATATGTATTCAAATAAATAAAGATATACCTCTATCCTCTCTGCCTATATGGCTAGTTTATCTTTGAGAGATCTAAGGTTATATATACACGCTGATACTTGATCATCCACAAGTCACAACACTAGCTAGCGGAGGTCTAAGAAAAAACTGTTTTCTTCGTGTCGTCAATGAAGATGTTGACCAAAAGCTCATATTTAGTACTGTTAATGTTGATATGTTATCTTGGGGTACTGATATCGTCCTCAAACAGCCTACCTCTCTCAACAAACAAGAGATGGATCGTGGACGAAGCAACAGGGAAACGTGTGAAACTAGTTTGTGCTCACTGGGTTGGTGATCTTTCTCCAATGGTGGTCGAGGGTTTAGACAAATCGCCACTGAATGATATTGTTCATCAGTTCCATGATAAAGGCTTTAACTGCGTTCGTCTCTCTTATTCAACCTACTTGTTCACTCGTTATGCCAATCAAACTGTTGCGGAAACCCTATCTGGTTTGGATCTACCAGAGGCCACTAAAGCCGCCATAGCCAAACACAATCCTTGGGTCTTGAACACGACTCATCTTGAGGCTTATGAAGCTGTGGTTGATGCCTTGGATAAAAATGGCGTTATGGTCACCATTGATAATCATGTTAGTCTCCCAGATTGGTGTTGTGGTAATGATGATGGTAATGGATTCTTTGGAGATCGACACATTGACCCTCAGGAATGGCTTCGAGGCTTATCTTTTGTGGCCACCTACTTCAAGGAAAAACCCCATGTAAGTTTATTAATTAATATATATCTTTCAAATGACTTAGTTTCTATGATTTAAGAAGGATAAAAGCAGAATCTTATCTTTTCTGCGTTACTTTTTTTTTTTTATAATTTAGACGAGTTGTATTTTGGGTTCTTCTCAAGGAACAAAAAACCGGACCGGTTACTAAACCGGTTGATGTACTGGTTCAAGGGTTAATGGGTTAGATCGGGGTCAGACCGGGTTAAACCGGTAATAATTAAAATACGTAAAAAAATTCCTATTCTAATTATAAAAAAAATACTATTTAATCTTTTTGTTTTATTTTTTTCATAAATTTATAGTCCATTAAATTTTACCTTCTAGTTTTATTTTTTTTCTTATCAGGTTTATATTTATATTTCTATTTTTATTCTCTCTCCTTATCTTCTGCGCAAGCACGTGGAAGGCCTTACTTTTTCTGCATTCTTTCCTCCTTCCCCACTCATCCATCAAATCATGTCATTTGATTAATTGATTTTTGGCTTTCTTATCTCTATGCACTTCTACGGACTCTTTTATGTTCCCTCTACACGAGCTCCCCTCTCCCCTCTCTTCCGCCTTACCTTCAATCAGCATAGCATCTCTTTCTTCTTTCCTTCCAACAACACAAGCTACTGGGATGAAGATACAGCAACGACAGCCATGCAGTAAGAATGACGGCAATGGATCAAGAAATGAAGAGTGAAAACAATGACCACGAGCACCAACAAAGTTCGATTAAAAGAGTGAGCATAGAATCAGCGGACAGGCAAACAAATATGGAGTTTCTTTTCTTCTTTCTCCAGATCATAATAGAGATCGACCAGATTTGGTTTTTTTTTTTTCCAGTGATAGAGCGACGTTGTTTTACGCCGGTGGGAAGGCTAAATCACTAAATCGGCTAATCCACTCCAACCGGCGGTTTACCCGGTTTAATACCGGTTTTGACCGATTTAACCGGTTCAAGACCGGTTTGAACACTGCCCGGTTCATCTAGTAAACCAGACCGGACACTAGACCGGTTCACCGGTTGAACCGGCCGGTCCGGTCCGGTTTTTTTTTCCATGGTTCTTCTTGTTGAAAATTTTATTGGTGAAGATGATCTAATAAATTTCTATGTTTTCAAAATTTTATTCACATAGACTACCAGTGCTTTGATTTGGGTTCTTCTCACCTTTTTTTTTTTTTTAAATAGGCTACTTTTCCTTTATGTTCCAATGATGTATGTATTCATAGAAAAAGAAATTCAGATATGAATATATGTGTTTGAATATATAGCGATGACTGTTTTCAATTTAATCATTGATTTTATATAAACTGTTATTTTTAAATAAACACAGTTGATATATTCTACTTTCTCTTGAGGAGAATGTTTCTCTCCCTAGTACATGCACCATACACATGATTTGTTTAACTTCTAGATTCAAAAATCAACTGAACTTGATATTCTTTTTAGGTAGTAGCTGTTGACTTGAGGAATGAGCTAACAAATGCACGACAAAGCAAGCATGATTGGTACGAGTACATGAGGAAAGGAGCAAGAACAATTCACGAAGCAAACCCTAAAGTGTTAGTTATTGTGGTTATTGCAACCGTTCCTACTCCCTTCTATGCAATTTAAATGCAAAAAGTGAAAACTATAATTCCCGACCCGGATGTTTTCTAATTTGCACCAGAACCTCAAAAAATAAATGGGTTTGGGTCCAATCCACCAAGGGTGGACTGGCCCATTTTCCTACATCTCCCACTCACACTTGGTAGATTATATGTCATCGGTCTAGTCTCTTTCTCTTCCTTTAATTTCATACTTTGTGCTTTGTCGTGACCATGTGGGTATGACGTCTTCACTCAGGTGCCTGTACTAGAAATCCCTTTTAAAGGACCAGCACAAGTCACCCTCTCCTTCGTGCAGCTTGAATTTTAAAGTTATGCCTCAGATGTCCTAAATTTACTTATATACACTTTTTCATGGCAAATCTAATCCTTCTCGAGTCAATGTTTGACTCAAATTGCCCTTCTCATATGTCTAGTGTCCACACTTACAACAACAAAATGTTATAAGGGACATGTCATAGATACTAGCATAGATGTGTATGTTGTAGTTAATCTTCATTTTGCCCAAATATCACTTTGATATGAATCAGTCACTTTCCTAGCATAATACCTTAGATCGCATCTATCATGATCATAGGACACTTGCCAAAGTAGTAGTCACTGAAACATATCCTCGTGATATTGTCAAAGTCAAAGGACACCAACAGGAGGATAATTCCTCCCTGGGACTCACAGCAATGAAGTAGGGATCTTTCACTTGCTTCCCTTTCATGTTCTCTCAGCACATGTGGTATGAAACACATGCTATGGTGTTACTCTTTCACTATAAGAGTATATGTCGTTTCAGACTTATCATTAACACTGTACAGACTTAAGTCCAGACACACTCAGTATCTAAATCCAAATTCTTCAACTCTGCTCATATCTACGACATCGACATTGAAGAGTTTTGTTATCTAACTACAGGTATTATGGAAGTGGGATTCCAAGCTTCGATCCATCTTCACTTATATAGATCTCATCTTGACTTGCTACACTTTAGTTAAGGTGACAAATAGTTTGTGTTTCTTCCTTGTCATATCAGCATTCTTTGCTGCTTTACTGGTAAACACAAATGCCTCATCTTTGCTCACTCTACCTGAGTGTCAAAGGCAGTTGCTTGTATGAGAGAGCCAACCTTTTTAACCTGTACGACATACTAGACATTGTATACTTTCGGATAGATGCATAAAATGATGATAAAAGGATATAATTTCATTAATAAGGCTTATATATTATACTTTACACATGCCAAGGGCTTGCACATGTTCTTTAAAAACTTTTTCACTTATTGGCTTTGTCAGAGGATCTACTACCATACATTTGGTTGAAATGTATTGTACAGTAACGATCTTTTGTGCTCTATAATCTCTAACAAAATTATACTTGATGTCAATGTGCTTGGTTTTGCTGTGATACTTAGGATCTTTAGTATAGGCTATGGCTGCAGTATTGTCACAGTGTACTAACATCGGATTGGTACTCTAGTTTCCAAATCCAATGTGTTCTATAAACCTTTTGAGCTATAAAGCCTCTTGCACTACTATGGTGCATGCCACAAACTCAACTTCCATTGAATGTAAGGCAATGCACGTTTGCTTCTTGCTGCTTTAACATATAGCGTCATTGTTTAGCAAGAAGGCATAACCTAAAGTTGACCTTCGTTCTTCTTTATCTCTGCCTACATCAGCATCGGAGTACCCAACAAAGCACAGATTGCTTCCTTCATAGCATAATGCATAATTATAAGTGCCCTTTAAGTATCTCAAGATCCTCTTCACTGCTTTCCAACGCTTTTCACTGGGGTTAGACTGGAATCTGCTTACCAATCCCACTGCATAACAGATGTCTAGTCCTGTACACATTATTGCATACATCAGACTGCCAACAGCACCGGCATATGGAACTCTTTCCATCTTTTTTTTGTCAGACTCGGTTTTGGGACACATGTCAGGACTCAAGGCCACTCTAGTAGCAACCGGGGTACTCATGGGATTGCAGTCTTTCATGTTAAATCGCTCAAGAATCTTGTTGATGTAATTTTCTTGTGAAAGAGAGAGGATTCATTTTGAACAATTTCTTTGGATCTTAACTCCAAGTATATACTTTGCTTCGCCCATATCTTTCATCTCAAAATTCGATGAAAGCTATTCTTTAATAGCCATCACCGAATCTAGACTATTTTCAGCCAGTAGTATATCATCTACATATAAGGATAATATGACAAAATTATCTTCAAATTGCTTAATGTAGACGCAGTGGTCTTCCTCTATCATTTGGAAGTCATATCAGGTTATTGCTTTGTTAAACCTCAAATACCACTGTTTGGATGATTGTTTCAATCCATAAATAGACCTTTTGAGTTTACAAACTTTGTTCTCCTTTCCTTTTTCAATGAAACCTAATGGTTGTTCCATATAGATTTTTTCATCCAGATCACCATTTAGGAATGCGGTTTTTACATCCATCTAATGTAATTCTAGGTCTAAACTATTTACTATTGCTAGAATATGTATAATATAGTTGAAATACACAACAAGTGAGAACGTATCTTCATAATCTATGCCTTCCTATTGTGTGTATCCCTTTGCCACTAATCGAGCCTTATATTTGTTAATTGATCAATCCACTTTTCTTTTAATCTTCAGAACCCATTTGTTCCCAATGGCTTTATGCCTTATTTCTTTCCTCTAAGGCCTAGTTTCCCATACTTATGGGAATTGTCATGGATATACACCGCTGACCCCCAGGGTCTTAGGATGGTTAGATTTAGTTTACGTTTTGTCCATAACTAGTAGGGTGTGAAAGCGACTGATTTTGAGGGCACATGGTTAAGTATAAAGGTTGCTGTTAACAAAGCATCAAACTAATATGAAATTGGCTGGTTTGCTTGAGCCATCATAGACCTAACCATGTCTAGAAGAATTCTATTTCTTTTTTCAGTAACTCTATTTTGTTGTGGAGTGCCAGGGATAATTAGTTGTCTAATTATCCTTTTCTCTTCACAGAGCTGTTTGAATTATTTAGACAAATATTCATGACCTCGATAGTGCGTAATGCTTTAATTTTATTGTCTATTTGATTCTCAACCTTGTTTATGTATCGTCTAAAGCACTCAAGAGTTTCAGACTTATGTGAGATCAAATAGACATGACCATATCGTGAAAAATCGCCAATGAAGGTAATAAAATACCATGCTCTGTGTCTCGCCCTAACACTTATTAGACCACATATGTTGGAATGGATTAATTGTAATGGATTTTCAGCTCTTGTTCCTTTCCCGAAAGGTTTTCTTGTTGCCTTACCAGCTAGACAATTTTCACATAGGGACATTTCCATATTTAGAATAGCACCTAACAACCTTTCTTTTGCTAATTTAATTATTCTATTTTAATTAATATGTCCTAGTCTAGCATGCCAGGTGTTTATGTCAACATTACTCAAAGAAATAGCAAATCATTCATTACGATTAAAATCACCAACAATATCCAAAACAAAGAACTTTTTAAATAAGAAAGATGAACCATAAAGGATTAAGTTGCTTAAAATGTCTGTAACTTTACCATGAAAGTTTACATCAAACCCAAACTCTAAAAGGCACAAAACAGAAACTAAGTTCCGTTGAACGTCGGGAGCGTAAAGTATATCATGGAGTATCAAGGTCTTCCTACCACGCAAAGTAAATTTGCAGGTGCCAAAACCTTTAACCTTGATCCTCGTATTGTTCCCAACGTAAAGCTACTTGCTTTGATACGACAACCGATAATACTCGATAAAGGATCCTCAATCCCTGGTTACATGGTTTGTGGAGCCTGAGTCTATAATCCAAGAAGAAGAAATAGGTTCTGTTAAAAAAATAATACTAGAAACATATGAAACATGTGAATTCACATAATTCACTAATACCTTTTTGCTATTAGCCTATTTTGAACAGTCACGTGCGAAATGGCCCATTCTCTGGCAGACAAAGCACTTGACCTTCTTCAAGTCCAGCTTCTTCTTCCCGCCTTTCTTTCCCTTCTTCTAGAATTGTTTCTTTCCCTTTTTAGATTGAGGACCACCCTTCTTCTAGTAAGATTTCCTTATGGGTTTGCCTTTAGGTCCGCCTCTGACCCTTATTGCTCTTAGGTATTCTATTATGACTTTAAGGTAGAATTCGGTATTCTTTTTATCGATCATGTATTGGATGTAACTGGCAAGCACACCATTGATGCCTTTTATGTTTGTCAATTTGGCCGCATCTCTTTCAGCTATACTCAAAACTAAAGCAGGGGTACAGGGTTGATTCACCTCTTCTCCTTCCTCAACTTCGGTTTGATCGGGAAGACCGAGTGAATCATTAAAGACCAAATGAGGTTTGGCATGGAGGGGTTCAATGGGGAATAAAGTTTTCAACTCAAGTCCGGAATCTATTAACTCCTCCAGGTCTTCTTGAAGAACCTCTTCAGGATCCTCATCCTCAGGTTTATATTCTGGAACTCCATCATCCATATATGAGTATTCCAACGAACTATGTTCGATATTTTCAGTGCTACCAAAAGGCTCTTGCTTTATTTTCACCTAAAACAAAATAATATAAATTATTTTGAATATTCTGGAATTTTTATCCATATAAAAATACCAGAAAATGCACTAAAATACTCATAAATAGATCCTTAATCGTCTCAAAAATTAACAAATTATATATCAAAATGAAGACCTTGATTTTATGGATTTTTAGAGACAAACTGCACCTCAAACAGAGCTCCCACATGCCTACACACACCCCAAGAAGCATAAAATCTGAGAAAATAAAAAAATTTTAAGTCCTACTCGCGCCGGCAGTGCGTAAACTCCATGCACTACCATACAGCCCACCGCCGATGACAGGCGCCATGCCGGTGGCCTCCACATGCCACCACCTCTCAGGTAGTAGTGTCCACGTGTTAAGAGGACATGCTATGTGGCGGCAAGCGCCACGTGGCAATTCTGCCTCTTCTTGTTTTTTTTTTTTAAGGATGGACTAGTTTTTTTGGTTATTTTGGGCTC